CCCCCCCCCCCCCCCCCCACACACACACACATCACTATACATATTTATATATCTTTCTTCAGAAAAAATATTGGCAAAATCAAAAATTGGGGAAGTTTCTGAAATTTGGTTGATTTGACACTGAACGACCCAGTCAGTCAGCCTATGTGTATAGGGTATGTTTCTAAATAAAGATTAATATAATGTGAATGGTGGCCTGAGATGCTGGTATGGGCTCCAGCCCCCCCAGGACCCTGCAGAGGATAAGCGATATAGAAAATGAATGGATGGATAATGTCATGAGTGAAGGTGTTTCTCATTATCAGGTTCTGGTGGCTGAGGTTGAAGGCTCTGGCTGAGAAGGAGGATTGGGAAGAGCTGGAGAAATTTTCCAAAAGCAAAAAGTCCCCTATTGGATATCTGGTAACTGATGTCCTGATGATCTGAATTATTCTTGTGAATTATTCTTAGAATTATTGTTGCGAATTATTTATAATGGTCTTTCTCTGATTACAGCCGTTTGTTGAGGTGTGCATTAAACACCATAACAAATATGAAGCCAGGAAATATGTGTCAAAAGTCACACTGGAGCAAAAGGTGAAAGCTCACCTTGCTGTGGGGTAAGAGCTTGTTCCAAAAAGTACACGTGACACTAAAGACAACCGCAGTAACGGCTGCTGAAAATTCAGCTTTGCCATCACAGGAATAAACTGCATTTTAAAATACATTCAAATAGAAAAGTGTAATAATATTTGACAATATTGCTGTTTTTACTATATTTTTGATTGAATAAATGCAGCCTTGGAGAGCATAAGAGACTTTTTCTTTCTGACCCCAAATTTCTGAACAGAAGTAAACATTACTGTTCATGATTAAGACAAAGAACCACAATAAATATGATTGTCTCTCACACAGGGATGTGGAAGGTGCCGCAGAGGCTGCTATCGAGAGGCGTAATGAATCAGAGATCGGTACTGTTCTGTCACGCTGTGCAGCCACCACTGATCATCTTCTGGTGGAACGCCTCAACCGTGCTAAAGCCACTGTTGCCAAAAAGTGAGCCTGTACACTCCGCTTAGCTCAACTGCATTTGCTGCCCAACAATATGAAACCTCTGTGTGCCAATTCTCCTGCACAAAGCAGCTCGCAGCAGAAATAGTTTTTGGCTGTGTAAGTGTCTCCTGATGTAATGGAACATTGTCATGAAAATTCTGCACAGTGAAGGAAAATTATTGGGTGGAGAAAAAGGCGGACAGCAAGAAAAATGGCATGTCAGCTTTTTGTGTTTTTCCTGTCTCTGTCGGACAGCTAGAAGCGGTTCCCATCTTGCACTTCACTGTGAACCATAAAAACCTTTGTACCTATAGTTGCATTATGAACCATTGTGTGTTTGATTTCGAATCATACTGTCTTTGATCAGATGCCTGTTCTGTAAAGATTATCTGCCTTTATGAACAAAACATTTGTTATTTTAATTAAACCATGATTGGATACCAAAACGTGTTGAATGCAATTTGTGCACACTATTGTTTTTTTGTCTTTGATGTTTTTACCACAATCAAACTTTTCTCTCATGACTAAGCATTGATTGATTGAGGTCAAACTCCGCTCTCCTGCACTTTTGTCCAAATTTTTGGGTGTATGTAAACGTGTGACCGCAGAGAGAGCTCTGTCACATTTACAGAAGGGAACTTTGCAGAGTAGGTGACTTTTGCAAGAACAGCGACCAGAGAGGAAAAGAGGATATAGGTTAAAAAGGTACGACGACTCAAAAGTCTTGGTTTGCAGGAAATATGATGTCCAACAAACGCTGTATTCACAATGCTGCATGACTTTATATCACGTGATTTTGTAGTTCTGCCTTTCCAGAAGACTGAGCATAACATGTGCAGTTTGTTTTGTTTGTGTAACTTGGTGTTGTCTAGAAAATGAATCGTAACGGCGTCTGCCTTACAAATCGGTATGCTTGCAGTCGTGGTTTGTTTTAAAACCAGTATAGAATCGATTTGTGCCAATGAATTTTCAGTGCATTTCTAATGACAGGTGTGTCGTTTGTAGACACGAGCGTGATCCACAATGATAAATTGTGATTGAGCGATGACTCCTCTGTAACAGACATTCTGTATGATTGTCATTTTTTATGCTTGAACAACAATTGCCATGGGGTATATAGAAAATAAATATTAACTATAAATGTATATATAAAACCACCAAATAAATAAAGTAACAATAAAACAAAATAATGAAAGGCCTTACTATTTAATAATACTAAATAAGAGCAGTTTTTACAGCTTTTTGGTTTGTACTTGAAGGGATATTTCAACCAAAAATGAAAATTCTGTCATTGATTACTCACCCTCATGTCGTTCCAAACCTTTGTTCATCTTCGGAACACAAATTAAGATGTCTTTGAAGAAATCCTGCATAGACAGCAATGCAACTGAAACGTTCAAGGCCCGGAAAGGTTGTAAGGACATCGTTAAAATAGTCCGTGTGGCATCAGTGGTTCAACCGTAATGTTATGAAGCTACAAGAATACTTTTTGTGCGCAAAGAAAACAAAAATAACAACTTTATTCAACTATTTCTTCTCTTACGTGTCAATCTCCGCCGTGTGCTCTGGAGAGTAGGGTACCACAATGCCAACAAATGCCTATGTAATTTTTTACCTCAGAAAAAAAAGAGGTTTCTGATTACTGAATTTACAATGATGGATATGAAACTATAACAAGTATTATACTATAACGATTATAACAAGTATAATCAAGAGATGCCTCATTTTCCAAATTCTTATTACAGTTCAAAAAACCAAATATTACATGTTCATATTGTAAAAGAAAATTTGAACAACAATTTATAAATCTAGAAACCTCCCACCATGTCGCCAGTGAGATGATTATGGTTATGATTATAAAATACAGCCACAATGTATAATAGAGTCACCTGTCACACATTCATTCATAGCTCATGAATGAATTTATTAAGTTTCTGGTGATCCATATTAAAAATACTTTTATAATATCCAATGATCACAATATAACGTTAAATAGTAATAGTATGGCACTATCAGTCTCAGGGCAGCATGTTTGTCTCAACCAATGGCGTGAGTTTAATGCGGGACTAAATTTCTGCTTGACCAATGGCAGACAGGGGCGGTGTTCTGGGGAAACCTGTTTGACAACAGGCCAGTTGCATAAAAATAGTCATCACATTAAGACTGCGTCTTAAGAACTAGTTTGACTAACTAGCAGTTAACCAAGTGGTTAACAGTCTGTCTTTTCAGATTCATATTAGATCAATCTATGTTTTTATGTAATTGACTTAAAAAATGTATGACCAGTCTTGCAGAAAAAAAAAAGATTAGGTGTCTAACTTTTAAATCTAGTCTAAGCAGTTTATGCAACCGGCCACAGATCATGTTTGCATTTCGTTTCTAAGGTAAAAGTTGTTTCAGGACATCATCCAGTTACATGAACTATACTTGTGTGTTTCAGGTCATGTCGTCCATAAAAGTGGAATGTGTTATCAAACAAAAGAACCAAATCGGTGAGAGTCCAGTTTGGGAGGAGAAGGACTCCTCTTTGCTGTACGTTGATATTACGGGTAAAAGGGTCAGCCGGTGGAACTCACTGACCAATCAAATAGACAGTATTGCCACAGGTAAGCGTACAGTAAGTTCAGTGTGGGCAGCATTTTTAGTTACTTTCAAGGAAAATGCAACCAAATGAACAGTTATTTGCCACAATAAAAGTCATTTAGTCAATATTTTGAGCTTGCATTTTATTTAAAGGTGCATTAGACATTGATTCAAGTGAAAATAGCATATATTATGATATGAATTAATTCAAATTTCTTGCCTTTGCACAGAAAAACTTGTAGGCTCTGTGGTTCCACGGCAGGCAGGTGGTTATGTCATCGCAGAGGGAACACGGTTTGCATTTGTTGACTGGGTAAAGCGTTCTGTTAAAGCTGTTGCCCATGTCAATGACAAGGAAAAACCAAACACCCGCTTCAATGATGGAAAAGTGGATCCGGCTGGCAGGTTTTTTGCAGGTACTGTGTGAGAGAAGTCACATTTCATAAGCCTATTTTCACTCTGCTTATGTAAAGTATATGGAAATTGAAAACTTTTGAATGTTATCTTGGGACAGTTGTAATTCTGCATTGTAGTTTTTTTATTTTATTTATTTTTTTAACACAATTTACAGAAGCTGATAATAAAATAGTTTGCCATTCGCACTTCCCCTTTACTTTGTGCAGGTACCATGGGTTTGGACATGAAGCCTGACGTGACGGATGGGGCGCTGTACAGCCTCCTTCCTGACCACTCTGTCGTCAAGCAGTTGGATCAAGTGCACCTTTCCAATGGTTTGGACTGGTCACTTGATCACCGCATCTTCTACTACATCGACAGCTTGGCATTCATGGTGGAGGCCTTTGATTATGACATCCAGACCGGAGGGCTATGTGGGTTTGTTTTGCATTGGACGTGTGGTCTTGGTGTAATAATTAAGCTTGTGTGGTTTTGTAAAACCTATGTATTTATTTATTTGTGTTTAAGCTAACCGCAGAATGGTTTACAAGATGGAGAAAGATGAGCGCATACCAGACGGTATGTGCATAGACACAGAGGGCAAACTGTGGGTCGCCTGCTTCGATGCAGGAAGAGTGCTGCGTATCGACCCACAAACAGGTGTGTGAGTTTATAAAAGAGTAACATAGATCAGACAAAGCAATTTCATACCAAAACTAATGGTGAAATGTGAAATTTGTTGTAATGTTCAAAATTCACATTTTCGGTTTGACTGTATAGCTTATGTTCAAAATATGAATGCCTCCTTAAGCAATGTTAACCTTATTTTATTCATAAATTGACTCATAAACCACTATACTGGAAATTCCAGAGGGAAGTCAAAACGTCTCCACACTGTTGCTTCCATAATTGGCCATCAAACTCAT